CTGTTTGTGTGCGGGAATTCCAGCCAAAAGAACAAATGACCTGAAGAGTGTCATCGGGCTTGGCCTCCCTAGTTTGAAAGGGTTTCATTATCCTCCCGTCATTTTCTAGCGAGTGATTGATACAATGTTTGTCTTTTTAAGGGGAGATCCCCCGACATAATCATCCCAGTCTTTGAGTTGGTGTTTCGCTCTATTTTTTTGGCCCCAAATTTTTTTTGTACTTGATAAAAATTTAATTTCCTCATGTTTACCATATCTGAGTAATTGAAATTTCTCATCATTGAACTTCATATTGTTTTCTGCAGCCCACTGAAAGATTTGGTTGATGTCCGCCTGGAGCCTTGCAGTGTCTGCAATGGAAAACACTGTCATGCAAATTCGGGTGTCATCTGCAAAGGAAGACACAGTGCTGTGGCTGACATCCTTGTCTATGTCGGATATGAGGATGAGGAACAAGATGGGAGCGAGTACTGTGCCTTGTGGAACAGAGCTTTTCACCGTAGCTGCCTCGGACTTCACTCTGTTGACGACTACTCTCTGTGTTCTGTTAGTGAGGAAATTATAGATCCATCGACCGACTTTTCCTGTTATTCCTTATTTTTATTATTATTATTTTTATGATATGGGATGTTAGTGCTATTGGTCTGTAGTTCTTTGCTGTTGCTTTACTGCCCCCTTTGTGGAGTGGGGCTATGTCTGTTGTTTTTAGTAACTGTGGGACGACCCCCGTGTCCATGCTCCCTCTCCATAGGATGGAAAAGGCTCGTGATAGGGGCTTCTTGCAGTTCTTGATGAACACAGAGTTCCATGAGTCTGGCCCTGGGGCAGAGTGCATGGGCATGTCATTTATCGCCTGTTCGAAGTCATTTGGCGTCAGGATAACATTGGATAGGCTTGTGTTAATCAAATTTTGTGGCTCTCTCATAAAAAAATCATTTTGATCTTCGACTCTCAGTCTGGTTAGCAGCTTGCTAAAATCTGAGTCACATTGGGACTTGAGTAGCTCACTCATTTCCTTGCTGTCCTCTGTGTAGGACCCATCTTGTTTAAGTAGGGGCCCAATACTGGACGTTGTTCTTGATTTTGATTTGGCATAGGAGAAGAAATACTTTGGGTTTCTTTCGATTTCATTTATGGCTTTTAGTTCTTCCCGCGATTTCCCGACTCCTAAAGGGAAATTCTTTTACCCTTAAGTTCGATGCTTGCTATTTCTTTTGACCAGGGGTTCCCTACGCATTTAGTATATTGACCTTTTTTTAGCCACTCTGTTTTTTTCCTTTCGCCTGAAAAGGGGGAGCCCCTGTTCTTTCTTTTTTAACATCTACCCCCCCTTTTTTTTAGGGGAAATTAACCCCTTGTGCATACACCCGATTTCCCCACCGATTTTTAATTTCCTTTTCTGGGCAAAATTTTTTTTTTGGGGCCCGTGTTGTTAGTAATTTTCCCAGCTTATATGGGTTTTAGGATTTTGGTTTTACTTGGCCCCAAATTTTTATGTTTTTGGTTTTGAAGTTGAATTTGGTAAATGCCCCCCTCGTGACTATTTCTCTTTTAGGGTCGGTCGGGGGGCCCCACGCATACATGTTAAACCCTCAATTATGTTGTAAACTGAAAAAATTTTTTTTGAAAAGGGGACATTTTTTAAATCGTCATCTTTTTTTTTAGGACGATGAGGTCTAGTGATTCCCCAGTTGTAGGCTAATTTTTTCCCGGTTTTTTAAATTAAATTTTTGGAAAGAATTTAAAAGCTGGGGTGGGGTGTGATTTTAAATCAAAGTGCCTCCTGGTATTTTTAAACTGAAACCCAATATTATTTCCCTATTTTCCCTTTTCCCTTTTTTAGGTCCCTTAAGTTGAAAATCCCCCAGGAAAAGATTTTGGTGCAGGAGCGGGAGTTTTTCCAAAAACAGTGGTAAAATTTTTAAACACCCTGTTCCTGGAATTGCGGGATTTTGGGATCCGGAGGCTTGTGGGATACCACAATGATAGGTTTTGGTTCTCAAAACCTTTACGCAAAAACTTCCACTACATAAATTGAGGCTTTTAAAAATTTCCCTTGCAAAAAAAGGGACTTGCTTTTGAAACGGGCCCAAAACCCCCTCCCCCTTTTTCCCTGTTCACTCTTTTCACATCTTTATAGGTTGTAACCGGGACCCCAAAATTTCGTTGTCCAAGTGATCCTTTTTTGGGGGGCCCTCAGTGAAAAGCCCAAAACCATTGCCTTTGCCTCTGCAAGCTCCACGGGTGAAAAGGGATTTTGTTTTTTGTTGCTGGCTTTAGGGGCCCTGTATATTTGGGAAAGGAAGAAAGTTATTGGACCCGGTGGGGATTGTTGGTTTCTTGGGGGGGGGAATTTTTTTTTTTTCCCGGGGATTGGTAAAAAGTATCTGTTGGTTTGGAGTGGAGGGGCCCCCGAAAGTGTTCCACCCCAGGAAATGGGCTGGATTTGGTTTTTCGATTTCTGCCTTTTTCCCGCCAGTTTTTTTTTCCCTTTCCCGGCACTAAAAACCTCCCCTCTTGGTGGCTGTGGCTAAACCCCGGTTTTCCCAAAGGCCTGGATGTTTTGTATCTTTTTTTTCCCCCCTTTAGATGGATCCCCGGCAATTTAAGTTTTTGCACATCTTTCCCGTCTGAAGAGGTACAAAAGTTCAGGGGGGGGAAAAAGCCCTTTCAGGAAGGGGGTTTTTCATTTTCCTGTTTTCATATGGGCATGGCAAAATTTTTAGGGTGGGCCCTAGTTGCACGTCCCATCTTTTTTTTTCCCCGATTTCCCATGCCCGCAGGGTTTCCAAGTGGGATAGATTTTGCACAGGTTGGGTTTTCCCTTTGCCTTGGGTTTTTTGTGACTGTATTCCCCGTTGGTGCATGTTTTCCGTCTTACTTCCAAACCTCCCTAGCCCAAAAAATGGAGCTTTCCCCCCAGTTGTTTTTGGTAATATTTTCCTAAATATTGCTAGGGGGTTTTCTTGTTTTCTTTTCCCGCGGTTTTTCTAGTTTTTCAATATTTGGGTTTTTTTCTTTGATACACTTTTTCCCTACTTGGCTCCTGTCCCCCATGAGGTCATTTTAGTATTCCCTTTCCCGGGTATTAAATTCCCCCTACCTGGACAAAAAACTCCAGCTTCACCCTTACTGTCTCCCAGGACAGCATCCCACTTCCCCTTACTGTCCCCCGGACGCACACCCCGCTTCACCATTCTGTCTCCCCGGACAGCACCCCCCGCTTCACCATTACTGTCTCCCCCGGGCAGCCTTCGCCCCACATTTTTCTGACCACCGGGCATCACCTTTCCCGCCTTACAGTTTTGACTACATGCCAGTATCAAGGGGGTCCATTTAGGGCCCCAAATTTTTTTTTCCCTTTGTTGTAGAAAGCTTCCAGTTTTTATGAAAGCAGCTTTGATGTTGTCCTCTTTTAAAACCCCTTTTGATTTTGTCCCCAGATTTTTCTCATTTGGATACCAAAAAAAACTTCCCTGTTTTTCACTGCTTGTAAACTAGTTCTTGGTTTTCTGCACGCCCTTGATACTGGGTTTTTGCAGGGAAGGGTCTTGGCCCCTGCTCTTCCTCATATGCATCAATGATCTTCCCCAAAATATCCAACACCTGAAACCCCATTTCTTTGTGACACACGACTTATTATCTCCCCCCAAATCTTGCCCCCCTCAAAAAACCTTGTAACGAGAGCTGATAAAAATATCGATTGGAGAAGCCAAAAAACTTCCCCTTAACACTGAAAAACCCCTACTATATTATGTTTGGTAGCGAGCGGGAATGCACAAAAAAACATTAAGATCGACAACACTTAATTACCAGACTAATGAGGGCAAATTCCTGGGCCCATCCCTTGAAAAAACCCCGAATTTCAGCACCCTATCCAAACTAACCAAAAAGATCCAAAACGGTTGGGATTCTCCCAAGATACGATACTACGTGCCGCAAAATCCCCTTTCTACACTATCACCCATTTATCCACACCTCCCCTTGATTTGTGCGGGGGATCAACTGCAGCAACACCCAAAACAATAATAACCCATAAAAAAGTTTTGCTAAAAATAATCCAAACCCATCCCTGGCAACATCCCCCCCCACTCTTCACGATCAAAACTTAATCCTGTTGAAATCCACACTTACTATGTGAATCTACTTTAAAGGACTTAAAACCCAATACCAACCTTGACCTAAAACGCTTTCTTGAGAGTTGTGACAAAACCCACAGGCAAACCCCCGACCCCAAACATCTCTATGACTTTCCCCGTGCCCGACTAAACCTTTACAAAAATTCATGTTTGTAAAAGGCCCCCTAAAATTGGGAACACCCTCCCTGAGAACTCTAGAATGCAGCACTTCATCACCTTTTAAAACTACCATTAGAAAAATCTTTTCCCTGATACACCCCTCAAAAAAACTCCGAATAACCCCCGGTGGTTCACATTCACTCATCACCCATTTGCCCTAAACAAAATATTAATCTAAACTAAAATTGAATCCTGTGATACTCCAATACTGAAAATTGTACGGGGCCAAAACAAAAGCTTCACATTGCTAAACTCACAAAAAAGTTTTAGTCACTTAGCCAAAACCCCCCTTCCTCATAATTTGTAATATTTTAAAAAATTAAGAATTAAAATAAGTCGCCCCCAAATCCTAGCCTGCAGGTGTTCTTTGTGGAAACCCCTTAATTATTTTTACTACATGTAAAAATACACAAAAACAAATTCTGTAAAATCGCAGTAATCCCATAGAGAAAAAACTTTGAATTTGAATTTGAATTTGAAAAGAATTTAGTTATTGTGTGGTTTACATGTAGGGCCAGCTAGGCCTATACACCATGTACATGTACTTGTAGTAAGTAAAGATATTATTATTATTATTATTATTATTATTATTATTATTATTATTTATTATTATTATTATTATTATTATTATTATTATAAGGTTAGCCGCTGTAATAAATGAATGAATCTTTCAAAATGTATAAAGTGTGAGGTAGACGTAGCTGTAGCAGTTGTAGTGTTGGAGTCCATCAACAGATACATTGAACCTTGGTAGACTCACACAGGAATACTCTCCCGGCAGCCACTAGATTTTCAGTTCTTTGTTGACGTCTGCTTTTATGGCTGAAAGGATATGACAAACTCGACGGGATATTTCAAGGAGAACCATGCTGAAACCTGTGATTTTAATATTGTTCCTCGCTGTGTTTGCCTGTGGTTTTCCTGAACAAGGAATATGGCACCTTACCACCAGACCGGTAATGAAGGTGTTGTCAGCTGTATTGTAGATAATGCTGTAGCTGTTTTAAATTTACTATCTTGTTTCGCCACTCAAAACCGAGTCATTTATGCCGGCGGAAATTCGTGGTTTTTGAGTTAGGTATTATTAGGGTAAATTTATGTTAGTCAACTATGTATGGTTGTGTTTAGGAAGAGTAGGCTGAAGTCTTAGGGAGCTTAGCTACTATTGTAAGTCAGTTTAATAAGAAGACGAGTTTTTAATGTGACAGTTACTGACCCAGGGTAACCCAAGAAAGCCAACTAGTATGGTTTATTTCCATTGGGGCCCTTTGGGACTCTTCATTAGGATGTGCCTACGTCAGTGCTAACACCCTGGTACCGATTAACTACTAAGTGAATACAGGTAACTGGTGTAAGAAAATATGCTTAACTTTTTCCCTTGTTTTGGGATTGAATCCTGGTCTTTCACTTGAGTTGAAGGCACTACCACTGCGAATATGAGCTCTAATCTATTAGGATTAGTAATCCTAAGAGAGTTAATAATTCAGGTTAATCCAAGAAAGCCAGCCATTGTGGTTTATTTACTTAAAAGTACATTGATGCTTACAAATTAACGGACTGTTGAGTCACATCCTAGGAGTCTTATGACTCAAATGGTGGCATTTTTGGCTTGTATCAGAAGGACCTGGGTTTGAGTTTAGCATAAGTGGAAGCATTGAGCTTGATTTCCTTACACCTATTGCATCTGTTCACCTACGAGGAAATAGATATGTAGGTGTTAGCCAACTGCTGTGGGTCACATCCTGGTAAATGGATAAGAGGACACCAGTGTAAATAAGCCTAAAAGATATTCTTGACTCGATTAATTATCTAAATAAAATTTTCTTTTTTGACACAATTACCAAAATAGAATTAAATGATGCTGTTTGGCTTTCTTTTAATTATCTTGCAAAAGTTATCCTCTGGGGTTAATATTCTGAATAAAAGGTAAATTCTTAAAAATTCATAATACTTATCAGTTATCTGCAATAATGAAATGGGATTAGAGGAGACAAAAGCCTCCTTAGCTTAACCCTTTGACTGTCAAGACCCCAAATCCTGAAGTCTCTCTGTGTCACAAAATATTAAAAAAAATATATATATTTTTTCTTTTGAAATGATGGAGAATCTTCCCCCGATGGTAATGACACCAAAAGTACGAAATTTGGTGGAAAATTTACAGAATTACGCTCTCGTGAAGTTAGCGATCTTTGGCTATATATACGCATCGGCGATTTCGCCCTATTTGAACCCTATTTTCAACCAATTCCATTGGTCCAGTCAACCAAACTCATAGCTATTTCTTTAGAACTCCATATATTATATCGATTGAGTACAAGACTCTGCCCATTTACTGATTTTAACTACCCAGTAAAGTGGTCAGAGAGTAAGACACATGTGCAACATCTGGGTATCTTTATTGTAGACGTTTCGCCATCCAGTGGCTTTATCAATACAAATTCCAGGACATAACTTGAAGACAGTAGAACTATGTACAGAAGATGAGGTAATCAGTCCCTCAACCTAGGAGTAGGTGCGAACAGCACCATAGTCATGGAGATTTCAGAATCTCCACGACTATGGTGCTGTTCGCACCTACTCCTAGGTTGAGGGACTGATTACCTCATCTTCTGTACATAGTTCTACTGTCTTCAAGTTATGTCCTGGAATTTGTATTGATAAAGCCACTGGATGGCGAAACGTCTACAATAAAGATACCCAGATGTTGCACATGTGTCTTACTCTCATCTTGTCGGTATTATATACCATTCGTACACAAAGTGGTCAGAAATTGGCAATTTGGCCAATTTCATGCAAATAAAAAAATGCCAAATTACTCTTGCTTTCTATTTTGAATTTTTATTCTCACAAAAAAATAGAAGATTTACTGTTATACAGACTACAGCATTATTGTAACAGTTGTATAAATAATGTCAACCCATTCATGACTGCATAGTAGAATGGCTAGTTGGACACTTACTGGACGGTAACATCATTTGTTTACTCTTGAATATTGGCAAAAATTGAACAATTCTGCTCCTTTGAGCTCAATTTCAAGGTCCTTTTCATCGTGAAACCAATCAAAATCATCTCTATTTCTGTAATATGTCTTCCATTCTGTCAAATGAGACCAAGAATACAACCATAAATTCTATACGAAAATACACCTCAAAGTTGGCGTTTTAACCCAAAAACATGGTCGGAGTTTTCTTTTTCTCATTATGCACTGTGTGTCACGGGATTTTTTTTTATACTATGCACACTAACCACACAGACCCATTTTCTCGCATGTGGGCCTACCAGCTTTGTCTCTCTTGACTTAAAGCCGCTAGAATTTTGGCGTTTTAATACGTACGTCAAAAACACTGGTGCATAAGACATATTTATGTGACACCGACAGTCAAAGGGTTAAGTGTAGACTCAATTTATGAAGTTAGGGATAACCAAGGTTACAGAAGAACTGTTAAAAAAAATATCTTTTCTAACTTTGCTAAGACTTGTGTATAGACTGCAGCTTTGATGTGTGTCCACTTATGCCTATGTCTATCTGGTCTGTGCTCCAAAGTATTTTGTAGATCATGATCATGTCTCCTTTTGATCCATCTTCAAGGGGGGTGCCTTACTGCTGGTAAAAGACTTTTGATCTGAGGAATTACCTCCCATTTCCCAAGTTCTGTATGACTTGTCTGAATTTAACAAAAATAATACTCTTGATCAACATCCCACAAATTTAGTACTGTACTTTAAAAGACTGGTGACATTCCTCAGATTTTTATCTATTCCTTGAGCTTCCATTCCATGCGATAAACTGTTCCTTCTTTTTCCCAGTGCTCACTTATGTTACATTACATGTAAATCCAGGTGATGTAGATATTTTTTGGACAACTATTATTTTATCTAGAAATGCTTCAGAATTTGTTCATCATTGTTTTGCTTCTTCCCCTCCCTTTCTCATTAAGCCTGAATTTGTTGTATTTTATAAATAATATTGTAGCCAAGTAATGTATGCCTTTATTTTTTTTTTTTTTTTTTAAAAGTCGGCCATCTCCCTAAGCAGGGTCACCCAAGAAGAAAGAAAATCTCCCCCCCCCCCCCAAAAAAAAAATACTTTTATCATTCAACACTTTCGCCTCGCTCACACATAACCAATGTTTTTGCAGAGGTGCTTAGAATACAACAGCTTAGAAGCATATACGTATAAAGATACTCAACATGTCCCTCCAAACTGCCAATATCCCAAACCCCTCCTTTAAAGTACATGCATTGTACTTCCTATTTCCAGGACTCAAGTCCAGCTATATAAAAATAACTGGTTTCCCTGAATCCCTTCACTAAATATTACCCTGCTCACACTCCAACAGCTCGTCAGGTCCCAAATACCATTCGTCTCCATTTAATCTATCTAACACACTCGCTCACACTTGCTGGAAATCCAAGCCCCTCGCTCACAAAACCTCCTTTACCCCCTCCCTCCAACCATTTCGAGGACGACCCCTACCCTGCCTTCCTTCCCCTACAGATTTATACGCTCTCCATGTTATTCTACTTTGATCCATTCTCTCTAAATGACCAAATCACCTCAACAACCCCTCTTCAGCCCTCTGACTAACACTTATTAACTCCACACCTTCTAATTTCCACACTCCGAAATTTTTGCATAATATTTACACCACACATTGCCCTTAGACAGGACATCTCCACTGCCTCCAACTGTCTCCTCACTGCAGCATTTACAACCCAAGCTTCACACCCATATAAGAGTGTTGGTACCACTATACTTTTGTACATTCCCTTCTTTGCCTCCATAAATAATGTTTTTTGTCTCCACATATACCTCAACACACCACTCACCTTTTTTCCTTCATCAATTCTATGATTTAACCTCATCCTTCATAAATCCATCCACTGACACGTCAGCTCCCAAATATCTGAAAACATTCACTTCTTCCACACTCCTCCTCCCCAGATTTGATATCCAATTTTTCTTTAAATCATTTGATACCCTCATCACCTTACTCTTTTCTATGATCACTTTCAACTTTCTACCTTTACACACGCTCCCAAATTCGTCCACTAACCTTTGCAATTTTTCTTTAGAATCTCCCATAAGCACAGTATCATCAGTAAAAAGTAACTGTGTCAATTCCCATTTTGTATTTGATTCCCCATAATTTAATCCCACCCCTCTCCCGAACACTCTAGCATTTACTTCTTTTACAACCCCATCTGTAAATATATTAAACAACCATGATGACATTACGCATCCCTGTCTAAGACCTACTTTTACCGGGAAGTAGTCTCCCTCTCTTCTGCACACCCTAACCTAAGCCTCACTATCCTCATAAAAACTCTTTACAGCATTTAGTAACTTACTACCTATTCCATATACAGTGGACCCCCGCATAACGATTACCTCCGAATGTGACCAATTATGTAAGTGTATTTATGTAAGTGCGTTTGTATGTGTATGTTTGGGGGTCTGAAATGGACTAATCTACTTCACAATATTTCTTATGGGAACAAATTCGGTCAGTACTGGCACCTGAACATACTTCTGGAGTGAAAAAATATCGTTAACCGGGGGTCCACTGTACTTGCAACATCTGCCACATTGCTCCCCTATCCACTCTGTCATATGCCTTTTCTAAATCCATAAATGCAATGAAAACTTCCCTACCTTTATCTAAATACTGTTCACATATATGCTTCAATGTAAACATTATTATTTTATAATATTATTATATAATAATAATGTATAGCAAATTAGTAAAGAACAGTAGGTTAAAAATGTCATTTAGAAATTTTGACACATTTGTTCTTCTGTTATACTTAGGGTCTTGAGTATGTCGGTGTCAAGAAGAGTTTGTTCAAAGGCAGTCGTATCAACATAAAAGTCATGTGTCATCTTATGGACCAGAGTAAGCCTTTGGACATAAGTATCTCATGGATGTTAAGGAAGACCCCTTGTTGGAATGAGTACATCTTCAGTGAGGTTTGTTTTCTCTTGTTTGGATTTGAACCATAATATACAGTGGAACCTCGGCACTTGAACCTAATGCGTTCCAGATGGCTGTTTGAGTGATGATCTGTCCGAGTACCAAACAAATTTTTTCCCAACCAATTCTCTTTATGGTTGCTATTATCACTAACCCTATTAGGCCCCATGGTGACTCATTTAAACAAATAATAAAAAAAAAAAATGAGGAAACATGAAATAGTTCAGAGCGAAGCTCTGGCAGGTCGTCATTTGTTTAATAATAATATCTTTATTTCTACAAGTACATGTACAAGGTATACAGGCCTAGCTGACATCAGTGACATACTACTATATAGAAAGGTGCTTGTTATGCAGAGCATTTAGGGCAAAGTAGGTCAGTTTTGTCCCAGGATGCAACCCACACCAGTAAACTAACATCCGGGTACCCATTTTATTGATGGGGAAAGGAAACACACCCAATGTTTCTACCCTCGCCGGGAACTGAACCCGGATCCTCGCCATGTGAAGTGAGAGCTTTAGCCACCAGGCCATGGGGTTGAGCAAATGGTCAACTACCGAGCAGTTTGTTTACCGAACAAAGCATTCGAATACCAAAGTGTTCGAGTATGGAGCTGTTAGAGTACCAAGGTTCCAATGTATACAATAAGTACATTACTAAAGTACATTATTTTAGTATGACATATTATCAGAAGGGACTTTGATTAGTTTTTCTGTGTTTGTAATTTTTTTTACAATACCAATGCATTTACCACAACACAGTTCACAAATGTGGAAAATAAATTATATTGATAAGAATGTAGATAACTAGCTTTGTTATATCATCCTTTTATTACATAAAAGGTTTACTTCTTTTGTATATTTGCATATATAATATTATTTGCTGCATTCAGAAGAGCAGAATAATCAGTATTCTTTAAATAAAGTGTGTACTGAAATCCAGCACCTGCTCTATTACCTTTGCTGAAAAATTTTCATTAATTTGATTTAAATTACAACAGTCATTATGTTTGCAGATAGTGTGTAAGATGGTAACCATGGAAAGTTTGCCTGGAAAATGTGTTTATTAATAATGACAGACATTATATTGTGGAACAAAAATTAATATAAAATATAATTTTTTTTTTTTTTTAGTTGGAAAAACTGAGTACTCTATTGCATATAGTACAAGGTAGGCAAAAGGAAAGAAGTAAAGTGAAAATAATTCCTCAAGGAGGTGCCTTGATGCCAGTGAGGGGCTCTTGATCTATGGAATTGTGCCTATCCTGCCTTTTCTTGGATCAAACCTAATTGTCTTCCTTTCCCATGGCTCTGTATGATTCCTGTGTGTTTTTTAATTATTATAATAAAGTAGAAATAAGAAGTATCAGTAGGAAGGGATTAAAAGCATTGCACAGAAAAATGAGAGAATTAAAAGGGAAATGATTTATAACAAAATACAGTATAGTAGGGCCCCACTTTATGGCGTTTTGCTTTACAGCATTCCGCTAATATGGACATTTTAAATTATGACCAGAACTCGCTATACAGCTCTCCCCACCTGTCTTTCTAATACGGTCATGCCCCAGCTGGTTTGTTTGTTCTCCATGAGCACTGCGTCTCTCCATTATGTCTTGAAACTTTCCAAAATTTCAAGCGTTTTAAAGTTATTTTATATTTTATATATACATGTACTTTGATAATTATACTTGTGTATCCCTGTACCTAAATAAACTTACTGTGCCGGAGTGCAGGTACACAGTAAAATCACTAAGAGTGTCTTATTAGTCTTCACACCATATTAACCCGTAAACAGTCCAGGCAGATCTACGTTCACATGCGTAGTGCTTCAAAAGCAGATCTATGTTTTTTTTACACATTTTCAAATGTAAAAAAAAAAAATCTACTTTTTTTACATACTTTCAAATGTTGAAAAAACATAATATATATATATTATACAGTGGACCCCCGCATACGGTACGCATCGCATACCATACAATCCGCATACCGATCGCTTTGATCGCAAAAATTTAGCCTCGCATACCGCCCAAAAATCCGCTCACCGCCCTTCGTCCGAGACGCGTCCAATGTGCGGCCTGAGCCACGCTCGCATGTTCCGCCGGTGGCATTGTTTACCAGCCAGCCTCCGCGGTAACATCCAAGCATACAATCGGAACATTTCGTATTATTACAGTGTTTTTGGTGATTTTTTCTGGAAAATAAGTGACCATGGGCCCCAAGAAAGCTTCTAGTGCCAACCCTACAGCAATAAGGGTGAGAATTACTATAGAGATGAAGAAAAAGATCATTGATAAGTATGAAAGTGGAGTGCGTGTCTCCGAGCTGGCCAGGTTGTATAATAAACCCCAATCAACCATCGCTACTATTGGTGGTACAGCTGCTGCTGTACCACCGTCAGCTGCTGCTGCTGTTGTACCACCGTCAGCTGCTGCTGCTGCTGCTGCTGGGCCCTAGCATCGTCTGCTGCTGCTGTAGCATCGTCTGCTGCTGCTGTAGCATCGTCTGTTGCTGCTGTAGCATTTGTCTGGCTGGCTGCTGTAGCATCGTCTGCTGTGCTGCTGTAGCATCGTCTGCTGCTGCTGTAGCATCGTCTGCTGCTGCTGTAGCATCGTCTGCTGCTGCTGTAGCATCGTCTGCTGCTGCTGTAGCATCGTCTGCTGCTGCTGTAGCATCGTCTGCTGCTGCTGTAGCATCGTCTGTTGCTGCTGTACCACCGTCAGCTGCTGCTGCTGCTGTGCTGTAGCACCGTTGTTGGTGTGGCTTATTGAAAATACCAAGAAACAATTAACCCCAGAGGATTTGCCACCCAGGATAACCCAAAAAAGTCAGTGTCATCGAAGACTGTCTAACTTATTTCCATTGGTGTCCTTAATCTTGTCTCCCAGGATGCAACGCACACCAGTCGACTAACACCCAGGTGAACAGGGAAAAATGCCTGGAACTAGTGCTCATATTGGTGAATTTAAAGCCAGCAAAGGTTGGTTTGAGAGATTTAAGAATCGTAGTGGCATACACAGTGTGATAAGGCCTGTTCTGGAAGAAAATGCCAAACAGGACCTACAGTACTCAGGAGGAAAAGGCACTCCCAGGAAACAGTGTCTCATCAGTCATTGCTGCATCTTCAATAAAGGTAAGTGTCATTTATTCTTCATTTAGTAGAGTAGTACATGCACAATATATATTGTGCATGTATCCTTCTCTTTGTGTGTAGGAAAATGTATATTTCATGTGGTAAAAATTTTTTTTTCATACTTTTGGGTGTCTTGCACGGATTAATTTGATTTCCATTATTTATTATGGGGAAAATTCATTCGCATACCGAACATTTCGCATAACAATCAGCCCTCTTGCACGGATTAAGGTCGCTATGTGGGGGTCCACTGTATATATATATACGTTTGGGCCGTTTACGGGTTAATAATGATAATGATAATCACACTAGTTCAATACCAAAGGAAATATGCACACAATAAAATTACTGGGGGTAGCTGTAGGAAATTATTCACTATGTATGCCTTTACTCAGAGCATCGTTTCATCTAAAAATGGTGTTACATGAGAATGAGAGTGTTGCTCTTTACTTATTCTACTGTATCAACATGGAGACAACTTGTACATAATGTAAAGTGTTTGTATTATTTATTTATTTATTTATTTATTTAATAATTTGAACATACATACAGAGGTACAAAAAAATACAGGTAAGAGCAGCATGCCAAAGCCGCTTGTATGCATAGCATTACGGGCAGGCTTAAAATTAACTTAAGATTAACTAAGCAATGATGTAATCAGTGATAAAACATTATTGTAAACAGATAACAATAAAGCACAAATGAGTATTACAAAGACAGGTCATATGGTTGCATGCATTGCTGTACATTCAGTAGAATGGAGTATTCTGTTACGTAGTGTATTTAAAAAATAGTTAGATTGGGTCTTAGGTTTGACATTTATGTGATATAATTATGAGAAACATTTAAGATATACAATTTATAAGGTTCAGTTATTCAGTATTTATTTGGTTTTGGGTAAGTGATCTTCGAGAAGAGACTTGAATTTATAAACAGGTAGTTTCTTTCATATTTACAGGTAATGAATTTCAGATTTTAGGGCCTTTTATGTGCATTGAGTTTTTGCATAGCGTGAGATGGACACGAGGAACATCAAAGAGTGATCTGTGCCTTGTGTTATGGTCATGTGTTCTGTTGAGGTTGGCAAGGAGATGTTTGAGGGGAGGGTTAATATCAGAGTTAAGAGTTCTGTGTATGTAATAGGTGCAGTAATAAGTATGGATGTTTTGTATGGTGAGTAGGTTTAGTATTTTGAATATTGGTGGAGTGTGCTGTCTGTAGTGGGAATTTATCATTCTGACTGCAGCCTTTTGTTGGGTAATTAGTGGTCTGAGATGGTTAATTGTTGTTGAGCCCCATGCACAAATTCCATAGGTGAGATAGGGGTAAATAAGTGAGTGATATAGGGCCAGGAGGGCTGACTGGAACATAGTACCATATCTTCGATAGTATGCCTACGGTCTTGGAAATTTTCTTAGAAATTTGTTGTATATGTGTATGAAATTTGAGTCTATTATCAAGGTGGATTCCTAAGAATTTTCCCTCTGTTAGCTTTGTGGTAGGTGATCCGTTTATCATTATGTTAAGAGGGACATCTGTAGCTCTGTTACCAAACTGAATGAAGTAGGTTTTGTCAATGTTTAGTGTAAGTTTGTTAGTCCTCATCCAGGTAGATATTTTCTGTAATTCGGTGTTTACAGTATTGGCTAGCGTGACTGGGCTCGGGTGAGAGAAGACGTATGTAGTGTCATCTGCAAAAAGTGTGGGTTTGAGTAATTGCGAAGCATTTGGTAGGTCATTTATGTATAGGAGAAAGAGAAGAGGGCCAAGGACACTTCCTTGTGGGACACCAACTGTAATTGGTTGTGCGGAAGAGTTTGCCCCATTTGCGTACACATATTGGCTTCTGTTGCTGAGGTATGACTTG